CGACTTCCTCGAATGTTCTCAATAATATCCCATACCTACTTCTCCAATCTTTTCCGACTTCCTTATTACTTCTCCAGAGTTGCCATGCCTCACTTTTCTTAGAACTTCCCTTACGTCCTAGGATGGAGCCGATGGAGGTGAAAACTTCCCAGAAAATTTCCTTCTCGGTATAGTTAGTCGTTAGTCGTTAGTCTAGTTGTGGTTGAAAATGTCCTACATTTTCAACGGATAAGGTTTCTGTATAATACACTCATTATTATAAAAGTGTTTGGATGTAAGTTTCTCTACGATTTTCATCATCATTAGCTCGCTAAGAAGTTATGATAAGTCAATTGGCAGTTTCTATAAGTTCCTTGATGGCTAAATAGGCCCATAATTTGCTTAAAAAGGCATGAGCCTGGTGTTAGATGACTCTTGCTTCAATTCTGGCTAAGTGTAGCCGCGATCTCAAGCAGAGTCGTGGATACTAACCGAAGGTGAATTGAAGAAGTTGGAAGCTTTTAAGATGTGACTAAATAAATGCCTGCTCAGCAGGATAAGCTACCCTGACGAAAAAGTAATAAATATAGCGAATCTTGAGAATGAACAAAGAAAAAGAAGTCTTCAAGATAATCAAGGCGGGAAAGATGGCATACTTTAGTCATGTTATGCGAAATCCTGCCGTCCCATTAGCCTAACCTCCTTTCTCCTCAAAACAGTGGAGAAAGCAATTGACCAGTACATCAGAAGTGAAACTCTATTGAGAAGACCACTGTACTCAAAGCAGTTTGCCTATCAGCCAGGCAAATCACAGCTTCATTAACATAGAGGGCCTTACAAGAATGGAATGTTGAAGTCCCAATTTTAAGATGGAATACAAAGTGCTCCAATCATCGTTAAAAGTTGGAGCGAAGACGAGGGATTATCCCTTAACCTAACCAAAACAATTCTTGTCCCGTTCACAATGGGAAGGAAGCTGAATTTGAAAGCTCCCACTCTCACCGGCACAACACTAACATTTTTTAACGAAGTGAAATACTTGGAGGTCACCCTGGACGAAGCACTCACTTGGAACAAACAGTTAGAGAAAACATGCTCTAGAGCTATATCAGCCATCTGGTCATGCTGCTAACTGGTTGGCAAAACATAGGAGCTAAAGCCAAAGATGGTATTCTGGATCTACCAAACTATAATAAAGCCCATGTTCACATAGGCCTTATTGGTATGGTGACCCAAAACTTAGCAAGTCACCGCTCAGATCCAGCTAAACAAGGTACAAAGGCTGATATGCCTAGGAATGCCGGGAACAATGTCGACCTGCCCCTCCGCAGCCCTAGAGACGCTGCTTAACATGCCTCCACTTCACCTATGTGTGAAAAAGGAGACAATAATCAGCACTCACGGGCTATTTCAAACAGACATGTTCAAGCCTGGTGATCTGAGGGGACATCTGCGCATCTTTAAACTACTAAAACTGGAGAATGCCAGCAAACCAAGCGACCACATGATGGTCAGATTGGACTTAGAGAGCCCATTCGCAGTAGTAATAAACGAGCGCTAATCATGGGAGAATAAAGAATTACCACAAGCAGACAATGCATCTCTGTGGTACACAGATGGATTGAAACTAACGGAAAGCCCTAAAAGCCTTAAGGGCTTTCAAATGCACCTCAAAAATAGTCTGGGAGTGATCAACTGTCATCATATTGGAGGCACACTCCGGGACTAAGACAGTCAAAAAGGTTTATCACCCTTTCAGCAAAAAGAGCTGAACATCTCCTAAACATGAGCAGACCAGACATCAGAATGGTCGTAGGACTACTCACAGGACACTGCCTGGTGAAATACCACTTAAGGTTAATGGGCAGAGCAGAAGACGTTGTCTGCAGATTCTGCTCAGACGCAATAGAGACCTCAGAGCACTTGCTGTGTCCAGCCCAATTCTGCAAGAGGCTCAAATTCCTCGGGGGGGCACACTGTCACCAGAAGAAGTGGACCAACTGAGACCCAGAAAAATAGCTTCCTTCGGCCGAAGTCTACGCTTCCTGGAGACAATTAAAGATGTAGAATCACTTACAAAATATCAGCAAAGCTAGCAGTGCTGAGCTACTGGAAAGACGAAACGACTCCCCCCACAATCTTCAATCTACATGCTATGCGACATCCTAAGAAGTACCTATAGTCTTCTAGATTATAGAAGGTACCAGAGGATCTGGTAGAAAAATGGCTGGAGAATCTGGAACAGGATATCAACACAAATATTTCCCAATAGTAAGGTACCTACTTATAAGGTCGATGAATAGATAAATTGCTGAACTTGTTGTGACCTGTTATGCTTCTGCGGAGGTAGATGTTCAACATTCTTTGCAGAGTTTCTCCAAATTCTTCTTCCGACATATTTTCAGGCTTTTTGCTAGACGTCTATTTCAGTATTTTCTTCGTTGTCTGGATATTGGAGATCCTCGCTTCTAATTTTTCAATGTAATGTTTTTCTGTGAACACTCTTATTTTCACTTCAATCGCCATCACCATTTGATGAAACTTAGAAGTGTCTGGTTTTATTTCAGCTGATGATGTGTTTCTCCATACATTACGGTTTCTCCCATACACCTACGATCTTCAATCAGCTGTCAGATATTTAAAGGGATCCAGTTGCTGGATATTCTTCTACAATCAGTCTCTAATATGCATCTCTCAAATCTGATTTTTTTGCATTACATATTCTGATGTCTGTTGTGTGGATTACGCAATAAGATAAGGATTTTTCTGTTATTTGTTCAACAATGAAAATTTATTTGATTGCTGTTTTTTCGGATATGTTTTTCAAAATTCCATTTGTCAGTGTTTTCCTCTTCTTCTTTGATCAGCAGCTGTCCATTTTCAGCGTTCTCGTCCATAATAATTTAAAGTGCTTAAGTTTCAAAAGTTGTTGCGGAAATAACCCACAACAAGTTTAAAATGTTATTATTTGTAGTTTATCAATATAATCTCAACTTCTATTATTTATCATAAAAATAATATTCTAAAAAAAGATTCCTGTAAAACTGGCAACAGCAGCCCTTTTGAATCGGTAAAATTACAGATTTCTTCATTACCCTATGAGCAATGGATCTATTTTGTTGTTGTGATTGGTCAGTTGCCACCCAACATCCCTGATTTATGCGACCTGCTCCGAAAAAGGCAGTCGACTCGACGCACGGCACGGTACACAACAGTAGTAATCAAGAAGCAGAAGAGTAAGCAAAGACTCTGCACCCTCTCGCCTCTGAACGCTCTACAGAGGAAAAAAACCCCCAGAAAACCCCCGTTAGTACGCGAATTATAGTAAAATACTACTCCCAGTGTCTCAAGGCCTGACATGGCCTATATTATCAACGATATTATTGATTACAATTCATGTAATTAACCCCTAAATTGTTGCAAGTCATCTCGGACCTAGCAAAATTCTCTACTACGCCTGTTTAAGGTTATTCCTGTCTCACTCTCGACGGGCTTCAACTCTGTATATCATTGTGTTCTCTCTCTTAGTGGAAAATCCCTTAGCTGACAGTGCAAATTACTACGAATAGTGATAAATGGATAAATAATCACTATATGGATTTACCGGTATGAACTGGATTAAGCAAGTAAGACCGTTTCAATTTCTCAAAACAGTCGAACAATAAATTAATAAATACTGAATACCGATTCGGTTGAAATGCACTATAAATTGAAGTGTTTGTTCTAACCTTTAATACAGAAATTTGGTTTTCACACTCGTGAAATGAACATTAATTTGTAAATTTGTATATAGAAACTGAGCATATATATATAGACTTTTCTTGCACTTATTGTTTACACACTTCAGCAGAAAAGTGCTCAAATTATTAACTCTCAATAAACAAAAGAACCTTCAAGGATTATAAACATTTTGTGAATACAGTGAGCTGATTGAAGTTCACGAATTATTTGTGTTGTGCTCTCGTAAATTTAAATTAGTTAATTTGTGTTCTCGTTCTTTGAACATTCAACCATAAATGATATTATTATTATGAAATTTCACTATTTTTTATAAATCAAGATACTTATTTACTCGCTTATTTACTTTAGATTAGTATAAAATTTGTAGTTCGACTGGACGTCCAAATAGGAATTATTAGATAGGATTTGATTGCTGATTAAACCGAATTAACTTCATTTATTAATTAAATTGATAACTATTCTATTTCAGCGTTTTATTTGTATAAATGAGAATCAAGGCACCCCTAGTTCAATACAAGGCTTAAATGATCCAACACCTAATGGTTAATTTTTACAGTCAGTCAAAGTAAAAACTTTTGACATCCCTGGTGCGGTAATGACTAGAGTCCACAAAAGGGTAATAGCTAGTTCCGTCACAAAAGTCTTAGGACTAAATGAAGTGAGTATCTCAAATTGTAATGAATTACCATATCAAAAACCGGCAATGATCAAAGTGATCAGGTTTTCTGCTTTGGATCTGGAGATATATACCACAGATGGATTTCAAAGGGGCCTTTGATAACTAGCGCCGATCATCGATCCAACAGCAACTTGTGCATTGGCTCTGAGTGGGAAACTAAGTACCAATTCATGGAGAACGACTTGGTTAAAGAAGATGAACTTACACAAACTAATAATGGCTTTATAAATACATAGGTACTTACTATAACTAGATGTAATTCCATTCTGTTGATGCTGTTGGAAAGATATCTCCAAACTCCTCATAGAACCAATTTACTTAGTTCTCTGTGATTTTCATCAAAAATCCTCTAAGACAAAAATTATTGTTAAAAATGACCAAAAAGTTACCTTTTTCCCAATAGTAACCTATCCGTCTACATTACATCTGCTTTTTACAACCTTCTGCTGGTGTGGGACCCACAGTTGGCGTGTGTCGAGGTTCTGATTGGTCGAAGGCGCGTGCCGACATCTGTCCTCCTCTCCACTCTCTGTTTATCGAGCCAAGCGCTCCTTTGCCCCTAAAATGCGTCACGATTTTCAGTCAGTCCGAAGCTAACAGCCGTAGGAACATTACTTCTTCGACTCTTGGGATTCTTCACTGTTTGGGGGGTTTCGTGTGTAGAGTCAACTCGCGTTTCAAGTGACTTCGTAGGGGGTTAAAGGACAACCATTGACAATAATTTTAGTGAACTTCGATTTTAGTGTAATCAGTGTCGGAAGTTAGTCCCGCGATAAAATTATATGGAAACAATTTTTATTGGAAATATCACGTTGTTGAAGCTTGATTTATGGGTGTGAAAAACGAACAGGCTTGTCAGCAGTGCCAAGCGGAAAACCACACTTGCAAGGAATCGAAAAATAGTGGATTTTCTCCTTTGAAGAAAATGAAGGTCCTCAAGAAGATCAAGAAGAAGATGGGAATAGGTGTGTAGAATTTCCACTAGATGGTCCTTTGTAAATTATATTATATTTTTTTCTGCCGGATGTAAATCAGGTCATTCGTCTGGTCATAATATCCGGTGGAAGTTTGCCAAATTTGCTGCATCAGTTCAAAGGTTTTACATTTTCATTGACACAGTTATAATGTGGCCTATTTCCTCCTACTAGTGACGTTTACCAGGCTTATTTTCTATACAAACATTGAGCTTTTTCTTTAATACCTGCTGAACTTTTGATTTTATTGATTTTTCCCATTTGAGTTCGAACACAAAGAATTTGAATTAGTAAACGATTTGGCTTAATGGAGATGTATGATATGTTGAAAGATGATAGTTTATAGAAAGGTACTAGGAGAAGATTTTTTTCAGTGATAAGTTTACAGACCATTGAAGGTTTGTTGAAGGCTCATGTAGTTTTGATTTTCTATTCTGGTCATTTATCTTATAAATATCATTGGAACCTACATATTCACTTGCAAATGTAAATTGAAGGGGGTAAAAGTTCCCCTTTCTTAAATTATCCTGTATGACTCGCACCTGCCCGGAATAAATATTTCTGGAATCCCGTTTGGTTCATAAGCAATCAACTTCCATTAAAGACAGATGAGTTTATTCTATTCTACCCATAAAGAAGACTCAGGTGTCAACGAATTTTACTTGTTTGAATTGGAACGAATTATAACGCATTCCAGAGGTTTCGGATTTACCGCCTAATCAGTAAAAATATTACAAACTACTAGAAAGGGGACAAAGTAGAGTAGATCTTTATACAGAAGTATATTCTATGTTCTATCTGATTACAGGATATAATTCGTAGAAATGCCTTATTATTGCTCTAAAACCTTAAACACTGAAATAATTGGCAAGAACCAATACTCAATATTATACAGCTTTAGACGCCTTCTGTTATTCTCGTATTGAACATTTAAAACTGTCATGGTTCGAAATGTGCCGACTCGCTGAATTCCAGATTATTTCGGGCGTGTGAACGTGAACGAAGTCTGTCTGAGGTGACTGGGGATAGGTTATTGCCTTCAATTCACTTTTTGATAATTTCTCGGATTCATATAAACTTCACTTTTTTGAACTTATCCCACACATTTCCGTCATAGATACTTTCCTCACTTCCTCTGCACTTACTGGAGGTTAAAACTTCCGATAAGTGCTTTGCATAAATCACTTAGTTTTTTTTAGTCATAATAATACAGAGAACCTCATCTATATGATCATCTCAAAACGGCTACAAAATTAATCTTTCAGTCTGCTCGTTTGACAACATAAATTCACAAAACCCCGACGATGATGATTGGTCCACCACGCGATCTCAAAGAACCGGCCGTGGGAAAATTCCTTTTTCACACAAAGAACCATCTTCATATTTTCTGTATTCTTCTCTCTTCTTTTGGATCATCTTTTGTGCCTTCTCTCACGAACCCAACGCATACAACACTAATTATGGCGTGAATGAAATTGTTTTTGTTTTCTTTTAATTTGGTCTGTTGTAAACCAATCGAGCTTTTATTATGTGGAGACAATTCTAACAAAATATTGACAGTCGGTGATTTGAAGTAGACCATACAAAGGTTCCCATAGAGGTACTTAACATGTTTGTGGACAGCACCATGAATAATTACCATTCCAAATACGGTTTTTGGGTAAACATAATAGCCGTTAATGGACGCTAGGCTTCATTTTTTATTTACATAAATGCACTTCCTTTGAGTTACGACATATTTTCCCACAGTGGTATGATGGCAAAAAAAAACGGATCCCTTGTATAAAAATGTCTGCTGTCCATTGTTTGTTGGCCAAAAACCGTTAGGTACCTAATTGTCAGAAATTGTGTTATGCTCCCCCACGTTTATTATCATTGGAAACACGTGACACATTTGAATAAGTTTTAAGGACTATGTAATTGATATGATAACCGTTGGTGTTTTCTCAGGTGATGTCGTGGTACTTAGGTATCTCAATATCAAAATATTTGCTTTTGATACGCACAGTATTCTTGATGCAGTTTATTTATAAATTCCACACACAATGCCACTCTCCAAAATAGCACTATCGATTTCTCTCCTAGGCCCAACTCTATTAAAGTCACTGGTTACAAAAATAAATTGCTTTTTCAATGAATTATTACCACCGCTATTTTCATCTGGGGATTTATATAGCTGAAAAAAAAAATGAGGGTTTCTAATGCCATTTTCTAGCCGTACCTAATTTGGGAGTGCCTATAGAACACAAAAGGAACTTGAGAGTTTTTGTAAGGACGATACAATAACGTTACGTTATTGTAACTGGATTATCTCTTGTTTTAGAGAGTATTGAAGTGACCATTAGGTAATGAAAGGTAGAAGGTTGGTCTCAGTTTTGATTAACATTTAAGTACTACCATTAAAATCCATCTTTCATGTCATTTATCAACGTTATTTAAGTTTACCGTTGCATTGCTAAATCTCCACCGCTAGATCCTCTAATATAGGATATAGGGGAGGTTATCTAGGACAGATGCGGAAGATTTCTCGGGAGACTTTGCCGCCCTAGACAGATGTCTCTAATGTAGTGTCTTCAACCCCCTAGAAACAACCAAAAAGTTTATTTTCGGTGCATGGAACAACTTTACAAATTACTAAGGCATGTTTCAGGATTAGAGGCTATTTTCGGATAGTTAAGTAAAATCAATACTTATGGGCAAAACCATATAAAGTGATTCATTGTATTTTTTGTCTATTTTGCTTTCCATATATTTTTCTACTTTGTCACTGCTTCCACATTTCCGGGATGATTATTATTGACAAATTTCCAAGATTCCTTACAGCAGCTCATTAAAATTTTATTAACAAAAAGTATGTATTACGCATATTAAATTCCGGTCCATCGAATTGTGCTCGGAATTTGGGTTAAAATTAATAAGGGTTGTCAAAGATTAAAGGTCACAACACAAATCGAAAAGTAAACGGTAAATGAACGTCCGCAGAGGTATATACGACCAGCAAAAAGTGAAACCTTGCTAAGATTTATTAGTATTGTGAACGCAGTGACGTACAATGCTTTAAATGTATTTGAAAAGGTACTGAATTATTCTTGAAAGAATTTGTTAAAGTATCTTGTGGAACTTATCCTAAAATCGAGGGGGTTTTCACCTTATTAATCGGTGTACAAATCACTGGTTAATATATGTCAATACCAGGTAATTACTATGTCAATAGTGTCAATACTATGCAATACCTACTTTTTAATTATGTAGGTAATATATGTCAATACTTGTACATATCTAGGCAATATATGTTAATGTCATTGGTTGATACCCATTAATAACATTTAAATACTTGTGGATATGTCAATACCTAGAATTCTGGCAAGACAAATATTTGATTTTAGTCTGTCAATAGCATGGCAATACCTGGTAATATGTAATAATAATAGGGAAAGACCTGGCAATATGTGGAAATATTTTGTTAATACATCGAAATGGCAATAACTTGTTGTTAGGTACATAGAAATATCTGTTAATACATGGAAATATCTCAGTTAATACTGTTAATCGGTGTACAAATTTTGTTAGGTGAAAAACCCCTCGCCTGAAATATACAAGGTGTTTGGAATAACTTGAAGTACAAAGGGATTTTGGAAACCATTGAAGATACAGGCTAGAGCAAATAGGGAAAAGTTGTGCAATCAAGTGTCTACAAATAATCTGTCTTCAACTTCTTTTAATTGGGAATAGCAACGGATATACAGGGCAAAAAGGAAAACATTGCGTTTCATAAAATCCTTGCATTGTACATTGTACATTACATTCAGTTCTACACATACCCTGTTTTCTTGATTGTATTTTTTATAATAAACAAGATAAAAAGGATTTTATAAAACGCAGTTTTTTTCGATTTTTATTTTGGTTGCTAACCTCATCTTTCACACACCTGCTTCCAGGATTGCTCAAACATGTTTCTGCTTGTGTTGCTATGGTCCTGCTTCAAATCACACCCCGGCAACATTTACTATTTTCGAGATATAGGGATTTCCATTATGGTTGGTAACTTCACCCTTGGCTTGGCAACACATTGTAAGCAGGATCGCTCCAAAATGTTCCTGCTTGCGTTGCTACCTCAAGAACTGCTTTAATCACCCCAGCAACACCTAATATTTTTGAGATACATGTATCTCAAAAATATTGGGGGTTGCTGGGGTGAAAATTAAACCAGAATGAGGCAGGACCATAGCAACACAAGCCGGAACATGTTTGAGTGATTCTGCTTCCAATGTGTTTCCAAGCCAAGGGTGAAGTTACGAACCATAATGAAAATCCCTGTATCTCGAAAATAGTACGTGTTGCAGGGGTTTGATTTGAAGCAGGAGGAGGCAGGACCATAGCAACACAAGCAGGAACATGTTTTAGCGATCCTGCTTTCAATGTGTTGCCAAGGGTGAAGTTAGCAACCATAATAAAAATCGCTGTATCTCGAAAATACATAGTACGTCTTGCCGGGGTCAGATATGAAGCAGGATGAAGCTGGACCATAGCAGCACAAGCAGGAACATGTTTCAGTGATCCTGCTTCGAATGTGTTGCTAATTTCTTCGACATGTTGATGACAAATTATTCATAGACGCACAATTGATTGCGCCACTTTTTCCCCATTTGGTCCACCCATAGTTTCCAAAATCCCCATGTATGTATGTACATACTTACTTCAAGTTATTCCGGACACCCTATATAGGTTGTTTTTGGAAGAAAATATTCAATAAAAGGATCAGTATGTTGCTGAATAAGTACCTGGTGTCCCTAACATCATCCTACGGATTTATCAGCATGTCTTTGTAATCTGAAAATTTTAAACTTTCGTGAAAGGAATAACTTGAAATAACATGAATAGAGAACACTTTGACGTAGAACTGAGATGATAAAACTAGGTAGTAGTTCACTTCAAACCAATCAACACTTGAAAAATCAAGAAACAAGTAATAATTCCATAAACAAACCAGC